GAGAGAGAGAGAGGAAAGAATTTTAAATTTCTTTTGTAATAATAAAAGTATATTCTCTATTAGAAAAGTACAAAATTTTATTCCACATTCTTGATATCTTAAAGTTTTAAAAATTCTATAATAAAATTAAATAATTAAAAAAAATCTTATCAGTCTCTTTTATTCTGCTTTTCTTATGTACTTACAATAAGATTAACTTGAGAGGAGGATTTAATTGAACTTGATCAACCGGTCTCATAAAGAAAAAAATTTACACATATTTTCAAACTACAAGAATTTTATCAACTCCCTTCGATGCTGCGATTAAAAGATGCTGCCAACGTCCGCATTTCCGCTCGTCACTTTAATTAACGAACTATACCTTTCCATCACTGAGGGAATATAAATTAGAAGGTGTCTTGAGACAAGAGTACACTTTTCGTCAACATCTACTCATTAACGCATCGGTCCATTAAGTCGAGGTGATTCTCCCAGTCATTAATTGGCTCTGCAATTAGTATCTAAGTCGGAAAATGTGTTATTTTCTGCATTTTTCGAAATAAACAAATAGAAACTTCGAAATAAAATTGTATTAAATCTTGAAAAGATAAAATATTCTAAGTTTTTCTTACATATATATCTTACAGGAAGAATCCAATTTCAGTCTGTGAAGCTCCACCAATAAATTATAAATATTCTGGATCTATAAAATAAATATATATATTTTTATAAGAGAGAATTCCTTCAATTATACAAAAATGATAGAAAGTTTATTTCATATAAATTTCTCTTTCTAATTCATTGATTTTCGTACAATCCTCCGATGATCAAATTAAAACCGGGAAGATACGCGATCATTACATATTCTATATGAGAATCACCAGCTCGCCATGGGACATCCCCATGAGTATATTAAACAGGAGTTCGCTCATGGGATATAAAGAATTTTTCAGGACGAGCGACTGGCCTGCCTTGAGCAGGCTCATCGTCGTTGCCACTGCCATCGTCATCATCGTTGTCATCGTCATCGTCGTTGTCGTCGTCGACGTCAGTAGTGTGTAGTAGTGCGTGTCCCCCCGCAATCGGATTCGACCGATTTATGAAAAGGTGAAGGAATGGCGCGCGCGCACAAACTGTGATCATGGTGCAAAAAGACATAAGTCTTCTCTGGCATGCGGGGAAGAATCGTTGACCACGGTTTCTCCAGTCAAGGTCAGGCGTTACCTCTTTTTTTTCTTCCCCTTCCTCTCCGTTTCGAGAGGACTTGGAGCGAAGTTACAGTGACCATGGTCCAAGTCGCATCATCCAGCTTCGTCTTTGTTATCGTTCGAGCGCGAACGCGTTTCGCAGACACGGCAGAAATAAATAAGACTAGGAACGGGGAGATTTTCTTTTAAGTATGCTGGTAGTAGATCCCAATATAAAGGGAGATCGAACGAGACGTGCTTGGTGTACATATATTCATCATTAGATAAAGCTATGCGTAAAGATTAGTCATAGATTTGTCATAGATATATTTTACAAGAGTTGTTCATTTTCATCAGAAGCACGTTTTTTTCAAAACTATTTATTGCTTACTTACAGAACTGTTATATGAGGTAACTAACGGTTACGTACAGGTACTGTGTGTAATGTACATAACTATGGACAAGATGTAGAATTCACATTTTGATATAAAATTTAGATGTTATTTTTGATTATTACATTTTTATCGTTTAGACAACTTTGGCATAGTCTTCTAAACGATATGAAATATTAAAACATACTGAAATTAACAACTAAAACAAGAAACGTCGGAAAGTTTCCATAGTTTCTCCAAATAACTTCTAAATTCTTATTAATTACAGAAATTACAGAAATTTAAAAAATTTTTTCCATATTTACGCATGTTAAATATAGTATACAATCTTATTAAAATTAGATTTAAAATATAATAAAATTTAGTAACATGTTTTAACAATTTATTCTAACTATTAATATTCAGTCCATGTATTAAAAATATACATATTTTCTATAATATTATATCAGAAGTCTATTACATAAAACTGCTCCTATCAACACAACTTATAGATATTTCATAAAAGAAAGATATTTTCAAATATATGAAGTCTATCTTCTTTGAGGATGGCTTCTTATATGCTGTGTGACAAAATTAAATTAGTGTACATACTTATAAGTTTTCGATTAATGAATATGATCTAAGCATCTATTAACATGCTCCATCAAATCTGGTAAACTCCGAAATATCAGCGCGCATTTTGGACATATCGCGACATCCTTCTGTAATTGACATATACATATTAGTTTAGATTACATGCTTTCATCCTAATAATGTAGTTATTTTAAATAATTAATAACATTAATTAATTAACTATATTAAAATATAAAATTTATTATGTCTATTATGTTGCGATATCATATCGTACAAGGAGTAAATTAAATCTTTAAGATCTTTAAGTAAATTAAATCTTTAAATCTTTTAGAAGTGTAGGGCTGTGACAAATTTTGTTGAGTCATTTCAAGAGATTCTGTTTCTGTATAGTATAGTATCCACTATATATATATATGTCACGTGTATTTTAAAAGTAATAACTAACCATATAATATAATAAAAATATATATAAATGATAATATATTAACAATATAAGAAAATAAATATAAG